GCTAAGAATTTACAAGAATTTAAAGAGAATGGAAGAGTATTTTTTCAAAAGTTTCACGGAGGAGATAAATGGTTAACGGAAGTTATATTGCAAAAAATTAGTCCTGTTTCTTACGAGATCACTGGTGAAAAAAAATAAATGTTACAGAAGACATGTTGACTACATAAGAAGAAACTTTTGCTATGAAAATAAAAACCAGTTTATTGATAGAGAAAACATTCCACTCGACATTCTACTACAACGTTTTGCTTCTGCTGACAATCATTCTTCAGTGGTTCCTTATTTTGTCAATCATAATGTTCAAGGAAGTTCTTCGTCATCACAAGACAACGATCCTGATACTTTGGATCCAAGAAGTAATAATGAAAATTACGCTGAAATGGATTCTTCAAATAAATCTTCAAATGTTTCAAGGGATGGTATTGGTGATGATAACCATAAAAATTATTCTATAATGTCCTTGGATGCAGATCCAGATGAAGATTTAACTCAAGATTCTACATATACACATATGAAACCCAGAAGTTATAGAACAGCAAACTCGACCTCAACGAATAAGAAAGTTTCCAAAAAAATTTAAAGACTATATTTTATAAACTCCTCAGATTGAACTTAAAAGGGGAAGTTATATATTATATCGGGTCTTCAAAAAAAAAACAATCGAAGATTGCTTTGATTACGAAAACGTACGTCGCATTACTGTTTCTTTATTGGTCAGGATTTTTGACATGACATTTTGACATTAAGTTCATTGACAAAATGAAAGAAAAATTTTGCTAAGACATACGTTTGAAAAACCATAGCAATCTTTGATTGGTTTTTTTTTTGAAGACCCGATATGTATAGGTACTTTTCTGGTATACCTTATGGTATTCTATGATGGTATTGTCATTGTAATGTCAATTTGTGAAGTTAATAAGTAATTTCAATTCTACTAAATTAATGGCACAGATTAATGGCTAGAAAGTGAAATAAGGCAATATTTAAAAATTATAAACGGCGCTTCGACTGCCCTTAGAAAAATTCTCTAGCAAATCCAGAGTTGATTAAGTTCAAATTTTGACTATTAACGGCTCTTGATTGGCTTTAGGAAAATTTCCCAGAATCGAGAGCCGATAATAGTTCAAATTTTGATTATCTATGGCTCTTGATCCATTGGAAATTTTTTCTAGAGCCAATTAGAAGCTAAGAGAAGAAGAAATTTTGATTAATATCGAATCAAGAGCTGCTAACTAGTAATCGAAATTTTTATATTGGTAATACCTCTCAATAAACCATTGGTTGTAAAATGAAAATTATAAAATTACCTTAAACTTTCTTGCATATCCTATAATAGCATTTACAATACAAGTTGGGACATTACACTGTAAACAAATCTTCCTGCTGCCATATTCCTTGCAATGTTTTATTTATTCATTTACCAATAAGTCCAATCGAATTTGGAGAGAAGAAGTTACAAATTTACAGATGAAGCTATCAAAAAACTTGCACACAACTATCAAACCAATGTTTCAATTATCAAGTACAATAAATTTGCTGTTTGGCTAATATTCTATAACTCTCTTACACTAATAGCAATTTCAATTCAACAATCAACCAAAAAGTAGTTCCACATAACTTAACTGCCTTAAATAAAACTCGATTGGTACTCGAACCGAACTATATTGGACCATTTCCGAAAGCAATGCACTCCAAATGCTTCGAGTACCAGTTAAGTTTAACCTGAGGGAAAACCGGGCCATAAAAAAAGTCTTTTATGTCAAATGGGTTGCTGTCAGTACGGAGTGACTTAAGACGGGCAGGCCGTTTGAATTCACGGAACCGCGATTTTCAACAGTGCATATAGGCAACTAAATTGCAAGAATTGTTAAAAAAAAAACGAGGCTTAAGATTTTAGAAATGAAAATAAATTTTCAGTTTGTTTACATACATGAAACACTGATAAAGATCCGGAAAATAAGATTCTGAGTATAACAATTAATTTCCATTGCCAAAAACATTTTTATTTGGGTGTAATATTAATAAAGAATATACTGTGATGCATGGCAGACTGCCCGAGAGTAGATTTTATTGAACTTATGGCTCAAAATTTCATATTTTCCACCTAAACATTGCATTAAATACCGGTGTGAAGTTAGCAGCCAAAACTTGGCAGCCAATTTGACGGAAACGCCCGAACGACCAGTGGCGTAGCATTGTTTTTTAATTCAAAATAAATTCAATAAACCATACTTAGACATCAAGTCTAGCTATGAAATTGATAGGGTACTATTTTAATATCATCTCCAATCCCCATGCGAAATCCCATTAACTCAAACCCCGTCGAAATATGAAAAACTACCCTTAACAAATAAAAATGCATAAATATTGATATTTTCGTATTTTTTCCAACTCGGACTTCGAGTCTTGCCATGAAATTAATAGGGTACTCTTTCAGCACCATCTCCAACCCCCATGCAAAATCCCATTAACTTAAACCCCGTCGAAATATGAAAAACTACCCTTAACAAATAAAAATGCATAAATATTGATATTTTCGTATTTTTTCCAACTCGGACTTCGAGTCTTGTCATGAAATTAATAGGGTACTCTTTCAGCACCATCTCCAACCCCCATGCAAAATCCAATTAACTCAAACCCCGTCGAAATATGAAAAACTACCCTTAACATGTGAAAATACATTAATCTTGAGATTTTCGTTTTTTTTCCAACTCGGACTTCGAGTCTTGCCATGAAATTAATAGGGTACTCTTTCAGCACCATATACAACCCCCATGCAAAATCCCATTGACTCAAACCCCGTCGAAATATGAAAAACTACCCTTAACAAGTAAAAATGCATAAATATTGATAATTTCGTATTTTTTTCCAACTCGGACTTCGAGTCGTGCCATGAAATTAATAGGGTACTCTTTTAGTACCATACCCAACTCCCATGCAAAATCCCATTTACTCAAACCCCGTCGAAATATGGAAAACTACCCTTAACAAGTGAAAATGCATAAATATTGAGATTTTTTTCCAACTCGGACTTCGAGTCTTGCCATGAAATTAATAGGGTACTCTTCCAGTACCATACCCAACCCCCATGCAAAATCCCATTTACTCAAATCCCGTCGAAATATAAAAAACTACCCTTAACAAGTAAAAATGCATAAATATTGAGATTTTCGTATTTTTTTCCAACTCGGACTGCGAGTCTTGCCATGAAATTGATAGGGTACTATTTAAACATCATCTGCAACCCCCATGCAAAATCCCATAAACTCAAACCCCGTCGAAATATGAAAAACTACCCTTAACAAGTGAAAAGGCATAAATACGAAAATCTCAATATTAATGCATTTTCACTTGTTAAGGGTAGTTTTTCATATTTCGACGGGGTTTGAGTAAATGGGATTTTGCATGGGGGTTGGATATGGTGCTGAAAGAGTACCCTATCAATTTCATGGCAAGACTCCAAGTCCGAGTTGGAAAAAATACGAAAATATCAATATTTATGCAATTTCACTTATTAAGGGTAGTTTTTCATATTTCGACGGGGTTTGAGTTGATGGGATTTTGCATGGGGGTTGGATATGGTGCTGAGAGAGTACCCTATTAATTTAATGGCAAGACTCGAAGTCCGAGTTAGAAAAAATACGAAAATATCAATATTTATGCAATTTCACTTGTTAAGGGTAGTTTTTCATATTTCGACGGGGTTTGAGTTAATGGCATTTTGCAAAACTACCCTTAACAATTGAAAATGCATAAATATTGATATTTTCGTATTTTTTTCTAACTTAGACTTCGAGTCTTGCCATGAAATTGATAGGATACTATTTAAACATCATCTCCAACCCCCCTACAAAATCCCATTAACTCAAACCGCGTCGAAATTTGAAAAACTACCCTTAACAAATGAAATTGCATAAATATTGATATTTTCGTATTTTTTCCAACTCGGACTTCGAGTCTTGCCATGAAATTAATAGGATATTCTCTCAGCACCATATCCAACCCCCATGCAAAATCCCATTTACTCAAACCCCGTCGAAATATGAAAAACTACCCTTAACAAGTGAAAATGCATAAATATTGATATTTTCGTATTTTTTTCTAACTTAGACTTCGAGTCTTGCCATGAAATTGATAGGATACTATTTAAACATCATCTGCAACCCCCATGCAAAATCCCGTTAAATCAAACCCCGTCGAAATATGAAAAACTACCCTTAACAAGTGAAATTGCATAAATATTGATATTTTCGTATTTTTTCTAACTCGGACTTCGAGTGTTGCCATTAAATTAATAGGGTACTCTCTCAGCACCATATCCAACCCCCATGCAAAATCCCATCAACTCAAACCCCGTCGAAATATGAAAAACTACCCTTAATAAGTGAAATTGCATAAATATTGATATTTTCGTATTTTTTCCAACTCGGACTTCGAGTCTTGCCATGAAATTTATAGGGTACTCTTTCAGCACCATATCCAACCCCCATGCAAAATCCCATTTACTCAAACCCCGTCGAAATATGAAAAACTACCCTTAACAAGTGAAAATGCATTAATATTGAGATTTTCGTATTTATGCCTTTTCACTTGTTAAGGGTAGTTTTTCATATTTCGACGGGGTTTGAGTCAATGGGATTTTGCATAGGGAATGGAGATGGTGCTGAAATGGTACCCTATTAATTTCATGGCAAGACTCGAAATCCGAGTTGAAAAAAATACAAAAATATCAATATTTATGAATTTTTACTTGTTAAGGGTAGTTTTTCATATTTCGACGCGATGTGAGATGATGGGATTTTGCATGGAGATTGGAGATAGTGCTGAAATAGTACCCTATTAATTTCATGGCAAGACTCGCAGTCCGAGTTGGAAAAAAATACGAAAATCTCAATATTTAAGCATTTTTACTTGTTAAGGCTTTTTTTTTACGACTTTTGGCTGGGGGTTCGAATTACGTCGGGTTCGAAAAACTATTTTTACCAAGAAACAAAAACTTACTTTTTTGCGGCCGACGGTTCCACACATTTGTCCGGGATTGGTGCAGTTCTAAGAAAGGAAACATAAAATATTATTATGTAAAATAATAAATTGGGGCAAAAACTTAATTTATTTGAGTGTCATTTCAATAGTTTATGGCATTTTATATGGCAATAACGATTTATAGTATTTTCTTGGGACATTTAAAATGGTCGTTTGGAGCGAATTTTTAGTGCAGGCTAACTTTAACTACCAATCAAGTAGATTGATTTTAAATTTAAATCAATTTTCCACGGTTTAATAACATGCTGATAAGAGGTTTTAGTACCTGTTAAATCCTTCATAAACCATTAGTCCACAATTTAAAAAACAAAAAAAAATTGTTCAGCACATTTTTGCAAGCTTACACGGCAAAATTGCACCGAAAACTGCAAGAAATCGCTCCAAGCAACTCACTCTCGAACCATTAAGGCCAACTTCACAACCTCCAGTTAAATACGATTTGAACTCGAGCGAAGGCAGGACTCGTTGGTTTTCGAATCGAAAGATTTTATGCTTACGCTTTAGAAATGTAGCATATCGGAAGGTAGGCACGAAGCAATATGCGCCTTTGTTACTCAGCCGTTGTTATGGTTTAGTGTGGATAAATGTGTAACTTAATATCTACCAGCCGATTCCAATAACAATGGTGCGCCATTAAATTTTATCAGTTTTGCTTTATGGCCAAATGAAAGAAGGATGGAAATATGATTTTTTAGTAGTAGAGGCCGAGAGAGTGTGTTAGAAGAAAAAGGATTTGAATAAAACTAAATGTTTTTTAGTTCTATATAATAATAATTTCTTAACTTTACGGCAAAAAGGCATGCATTTAAATATATTTGCATACAATTAAAATGTTTAGGTATAGTTTTTAACAATCAATATTTTTGATACTTTTTTGTTTGTTTAACTTAGATATTTATTCTAAAAATTATTTGATAGAACAAAAAAAATTGAACCCAACATGTGTGAAAAGTCCATTCAATGGCTCAGTGTCGGTAAAATACCACTTTCCACAATTGTTAGGTAGATAACTATTACTAACTATGAGATTCGATCAACTAAATAAAACTGCTAAATATCATCTAAACATGACTTTACTTTTACTTTACTCGCTATGGTTTTCTCTATCTCTTAATTTTGAGATAGAATCAATCATCATATTGTAGTAATAAAAGCAAAGCCATGTATAGTGAGATAGCCCAGCGGAATTTAATACGCTGAGCCACGAGTTATATTCACTGAGTTCGATAATGAACTCAGTAATGCTTTGCCTGTAATAAAAGAAATCAAGAAAAAATTGTTTAAAAGTTACTACTTCAAAATATACATACGTATTAGTATTGGTGGATCCTTGCATTCTCGTGGTGTGCACTGGAGTATAGGGATCCGTTTTTCTGTTCGGAACAGTGGGTTCTGGTCTGGGAACTCCACTTGTTGGACGAAGTCTGGAATAAATTAATTCGTATAAAATCAATTGGAGAAGTTTCACAATCAATTTTATGTCGAGTAATAATTAATTTTTAGTTTTGGTTGCGATACTCGGATTATTTCAAATCATTGTTGCTAGATCCTCTTGGAAAATGAATAATTTTTACAGGGTAGAAAAAATTAGCTTATACTTTAATCAGCAGGACGATTATTTGAATACAGAGTATTGTACCAATTAGAAGATCAACAAACAGTTTTCTAATTTTTTGCCTATTGTGCTTATGTAGAGCAAGCATACCAGTTAAATATGACATTTGAGAATTACAGTTATCAAATTGTTTGCTAAGTAGTTTATTTTTTAAATATTTTTGCTATGCTCAAAGGCAATTTCAAGTTCTGTTCTCCTTCAGCAATCTTTACATAATCATTCAGATTTCACCATGTTCTATCACATCAAAATTTTAAAATAAGTATCACTCATCACAATAGAATGGGCGACTGATAGCTTCAGACCTTACAAATCTCCAGACAAAGACGGGATCTTTCCCGCACAACTGCAAAAAGACTACGAGTACTTAAAGGCTCCGGCTTCCTCCATATATTGACCCCTCCCCCACAGGGGTTATGTGAAGAGATATCAAAAAATTGTAAATACAAAAGTTTTTTTGTTCTTTTAGAAATGTCAAATTTTGAAAGATGGTTAGTTTTTTTTTATAGAACACCCTATATATTACTTCATAGTTGAATGTTCTGATTTCAAATATACATGATTTAACTACTTTTAATCAAGCCGTTTTGGAAATATCCGGCTCTAAATTTCAAGAAAATTACATTGAAATACCTCCTGAGTCATGTCGAACAATGCCAAGTACATCAGACTGCAAATCAGCCTTCTATACAGGATATTTTCTTCTATAGGTTGTCCTTCATCCATGTGGAAATTTACTTCCATCGGTGTTGCTATGGTTCTACTATTTTCCATAACAAACCTTTTCAATATTCGTATGATAATTTTTGTCTGGGAAATCTTGATACCTCCTTCATTTTTATTTATCTCCATTCCCAGAAATGTCTTCACTTCAGTTGTATTCTCAACCTTGAAATCATTATACAAACTGTCCACTAATTTGTCCACTTCTTCTTTTGGTCCCGTTATCAATGCATCGTCCACAAACAACACCAAATAAACATCGTCTTCAACACACAAACAATAGTCATATTGTGATCTTCTAAAATTTAGTCTCAACATTACTTCACTGAACTTCATGTTCCAACACTTCGGTGCGTTACGCAGTCCATACAATGCCCGGTTAAGTTTTAAATACTTTGAGTCCCTCTGGCCTCTTGATATACACTTCACTGTCCAATTGACCATTTAGGAACCCAGTTGGCACGTCTATCTGACTCAGTCTTTTAGCACTGACATTGAAATTAAAAGTCTAATTGTAAGAAGTCTGCATACTGGTGCATAAATAAACTCTTCGCCCTCTTGTGGTACCTGAAAACCCCTTGCTACAAGTCTCGCTTTCTTCGTGCCGTCCTCTTTTACCTTAAAAATCCATCTCGTATCAATTGCTTTTTGTCCTTCAGGTAATTTGGTTGGCGTCCAGGTATGTAATTTTTTATGAGATTTCAACTCATTGTTTATTGCTTTTAGCCACTCTTCAGATTCACTGGGCTTCTTGATATGTCTTTGACTCTTCCTGACTTTCTGAGAGTAAACAATATGCCACATACAGCTCATAATCATCTAGGTTTTTAGGCAATATAAGAAAATTTCTTCTAGATCTAGTTACTGTACAATCTCTCCCTGGTATATATTCAGGATCAATTGAGCTTCCACTGCTTTCATCTAAACTTTCATATTCTATATCTTCATCTCCCGTAATTTGTCTCTCTTCTTGAGTATTTTCTGTCTCATTCGAATTTCTATATTCTTCTACTGTTATAGGTATATAATTATTTTCCTGTTTCTCTACATTCTTGAATTCCATAATAGACTCACTAAACCTAACATCTCTTGATCGAATGATTCTTTCTTCTGTAGGTGACCATATTCTGAAGCCTCCTCCACAATATCCCATCGTTACTGCTTTTGTCTGGTAACACTATATACCATGCTCAACAACCGAAAAAATTCTTAATTTGTTCAAATCATTTCTTCCGTGCCAGATCTGTGATGGTGTCGTTCCTATTGGTAAAACTGATGTCGGGGTTCTGTTGAGTTCATATGCAGAACACTTTACAGCTGCAGCTTCTCCCCATAGTGATTTTGGAATGCCAGAATCAATTATTTTTGTTCTTATCATATTTTACAAAGTTCTTTTCATCCTTTCAGATTTACCCATCATCTGAACACTGTAGGCCATTGTATATTCTAATTTAATTCCCTTTTGTCTGCAAAAATCTTCAAAACTTCTTGATGTAAACTCTCCTCCATTATCTAGTCTGAAACGTTTCACTCTTAGATTATGCTGTGTCTCTAACTCAAGTACATAATTTCTCAGATTTCCTTCTGCTTCATGTTTATTCTCAAGTAACTTCACAATAACAAAATGCGAGTAATCATCAAGAATCACTTGAAAATATCTTTCTCCATTTACTGTGTTAGGTGTCACAGGTCCACATAGATCACTATGAATCAATTCACCTATGGCTGTTGTACGAATCTCATTGGTTACAAATGGAGAACGTGTGACTTTCCCTTCAACACAAGTTAAACAGATTCTGTCTAAAGTCTTCAAACCTAGCTATGACAGAACATTTTTACTTGCATGCCTAAGTCTTCTGTGCTATATATCATCATCTATGGTTAGATTACATTCCTCTTTTGCCCTATCAATGCTATCTAGCGTAAATATGTAGAATCCGTTTCTATTCTGGCACGAAAATTTTCACCTCTAATTGTAGTTTGGTCTTTTTCCACTAAAAGTTATAATTTATTTTTGGTACAATCAAAGCCTCAATATAAACAGTTTGCCCTTGACAACTTGCTTTTAACTTTCCCAGCTTGTTTGTCTTCAAAACTTCTTCGTTGGTAATGTATACTGATACATTCTGTGGTGAGGTTTTTACAACATGCATATACTGAACTCTTGAACAAAATTGTTACTGGCACCTGAATCCAATATAAAAGTTACTTTACCCTCAGGTACAGTATTACATATATTTGCTGCATTCAGCACAACTTGATTGTCAACAGCATTAGCCTCTTGCTTATTATAATATCCACTTGCTCCTTGGTTGAAACTTCCACCTCTATGTCCTCTTGAATTATGTACTCTTCCTCTAAACCTGCCTCTTATATTGTTAGACCACATATTTCGTTTTGGACAGTGTGCTTTAAAGTGATTTTTATCACCACACATGAAACAGCCTTTGCTAGTCGTAGCCTTAAAACAAACATCATTCTCCTGACCCCCATTTTCAGCTCTTGAATTTAACTTTATCTCTTCGTCTAAAAGTCTGGCCTTGACAAAATTAATTTTTACGTCACTTAAGGTTCTAAAGCAGTAATAACTGCGATGAATTTAGACGGTAACGACCAATGTAACGACAGCAATAAATGACAAACTCTATTACTTTCATCTATGTTTGAGCCTAAGTGTTTGAGCTCCATTATTATTGTGTCGAAATTTAGGAAATGGTCTTCCAACTTCTCATTCATACCTGACTGACAATCCAAGTAATTTTCTCTGTGAATGCACTAGTTCTCAGAAAAACATCCTTCAAAGCAGAAAGATGTTCCTTTGCAGTTTTGCAATCTTTGATGATGTCCAGATGTTTATCCGAAACACATTGCACAATCACTTCTAATCCAAAAAAACTTACTTTTCTCCTCATTTGTTGCTCCTGCTAGTGGTGGATCATTCAGGGCTTCAGAGCATTGTTCCCTTTTTAACAGAGTGACTATACGGAAATGCCAATTATTAAAATTAGATGTTTCCAGAATAGGGACTGTTAAACTATTAAACGCAACCATTTTTCACAACTAGAATTTTCGTTCAAAATGCTGAAGCTTTTCGAAGACTTATTTTTGGCATTTATCTTTTCCGGACTCAAGAGTGCTCACTGGAACTAACTGAAGTCTGGGCCCATAACCTTTTAATGGGTGAATAACACTTCTCGGGCCAAAGAATTGTAACAACACAATCTGCTTTATTATTTAACATTCAACAACACGTTAACAGACAGACAATCAACAAAAACTAACTGGTCAACAAAAGTCAGAAACGACACAGGTACAAAGTAAAAGAGTTCTACAGATACAGTGAGCATCAAAACTTATATGCAACAAGCTTCAGTCCAAAAACGATTATCACAAGACCATTCTTGCATCATAAATCTCGTCTTATCCAAAATTGTTCGATTCATGCGTTCTACAACTCCATTTTCTTGTGGTGTGTAGGCTACTCTTAGCTGGAAATTTATGCCTTTTGCTTTAGAAAATTCTTCAAAATATTGTTGGAGAACTCTTTACCATTGTCACTTCGGACTCATTTTATCTTCAAATTACATTCATTTTCCATTTGCTGTTTGAATTCCTTGAAAACTTCTGTAACTTCACTCTTTTGTCTGAGAAAATAGACAAAAACTTTTCGCGTCTATCAGACAAAAAATATACCGACTTCCTCCCCAAGAATCTATGGGTATGGGTCCACACCGATCCATGTGTACGAGCTCAAACTTTTTCTTTGTGAATGGAAACCTCTGTTCGTTGCATTTTGAACGGTTTCCGGCTGTGTTTTCCTTGAATACTGGACTCACAAGGATCGTCAAGATTTTTATTAGAAAAATCCAATCCTATAGTCATTTTGTCACGAAGAAGTTTCATACTGATACGGTTTAAATGTCCAAGTCTTCTGTGCCAAAGTACTTTTGACATTACTGTGTTTGAAAAATTGGCGTATTCGGTTTTGTTTAGATTGCGGCAGTAGACTCCACCAATTTCAGTTGCTGCAGCCACTGTACCACCTTCAATCACGCAGTTTTCAAGTATCTTGCATCCTTCTTGATCAAATACAACCCTTTAGAGACCATCTGGCTTACGGATAGCAAATTAGAGAATAGGTCCGAAACATAGGTTACGTTAGAGATAACCTGGACTGGTGATCTATTCTTCTTTAGACTCCAATTCCTTGACTGTATAAAATTTGATTATTTGCAACAGCCACTTCTAAGCCAATGTTTCTTTCTTTTGAAAAATTGACCAGCCATTCTTCGTTAGAAGTCATATGTGACGAAGCACCAGAAAAAACATACCATTTTTGTCTATTTAGTTGACAGCTTAATGCGGTTATAAAAACTCCATTCTTGGTTGACTTGTTCTGCTCATACTTTTTATTTTGGTTAGAAGTAGAAGGTCCACTGACTTTTGTATTTGTACAATTTTGCTTATAGTGTCCCACAGAACGACATTTCCAACACCAAGTCTTTTTGTCTTTCGCATTATTAACTTTATTTTTCTTAGACCACAAAGCTTTATTTGAATTGTGTTTATCATTCTCCCCCTTTGTATTTTGTATTAGCTTGGATTTGATCAAATCACTCGTGATCTATGCACCAGAGTGTTCGATTATAGCTTTCTGACAATCCTTGAAGCATCATGCTCCCAGTAACTCATCATCAACAGCTTTATTTATGGCGCTTAGTTTTTGCGACACTGTTATAAACTCATTAACGTAATCATTCATTTAAGAAAAATTTTCTAACTTGATACTACATAAGGTTCGAAGTAATCTGATTCTCCAATTGAGACCTTTATCCTCGTAAGCTGCTTTCAAATTATCCCAAGTGTCAACAGCTTTTTCACATTCTCTTATCTGAGGATAACAGCAAGGTTGAACCATCAAACACATCTTTGTAAGAGCTTTTTGATCTTTCTTACTTTTTACTGCTTCTGTTGTTGTATCGCCTCCTGGAAAGCCATTTATAGAAACCCAAAGATCTTCATGACGAAGTAGCAACTTCATGACAAACGACCAATCACAATAATTCTCACTTCCTCTTCTTATCAAAAGAAGGAGCAGAACTGGAACCTTCTGCATAACTTACAGTAGTAGACATAATTGAAATTTGCTCGAAAAAATGTCTATAAAATCCTAACAGTTGGAATCTACTTCAAAATTCTCTTGTTGCAGTTTCAGAGGTTGACGAATCTTCTTGTGATTACATCTGCTGGCCTATCTGGGCCCATAACCTTTGTAAGCAATAAGTGAACGCAGGGCAGATTTGTAAAGATTGATGTATAAACTTAGAACGTTTTTACAATGAGAAATATTATATTATTCTGACAAGTACTGTCATAAAAATAATAAATCATATATCAAAATGTACAAGGAAACTTCTTAGCTGTGTATTAGTAGAAACTTCTTTCTTCAAGAGAAAACAAAGACACAGATGGCCTCACAAAAGAAGCGGCCTTAACACCATACCATAGACCAGAGCCCTGTGGCTTGATGAAAAACCACATCATGGAAGAACTCAACAAATGGGAGAAAGACCAACTGTCATCATACTGGAGGCACACTCAGAGACTAAGACAGTCATAAAGGTTTATCACCTTTTCAGCAAAAAGAGCTGAACAGCTCCTAAACATGAGCAGACCAGATATCAGAATGGTCGTAGGACTGCTCACATGACACTGCCTGATGCAATACCACTTGGGGTTAATGGGCAGAGCAAAAGACAATCTCTGCAGATTCTGCGATCTCGCACCTGCTCTGGGAATGTCCAGCCCAATTCTGCAAGAGGCTCAAATTTAGCGAGGGGTCAACACTGTCACCAGAAGAAGTGGGCCAACTGACACCCAGAAAAATAGCTTCCTTCGGCAGAAGTCTACGCTTCTTGAAGACAATTTAAGATGTACAAAATATCTGCAAAGGTAGCAGTGCTGAGTGGCTGGAAAGCCGAAACGAATCCTCCACAATCTTCAATCACTCATCAGATTACTTTTCATCCAACATATTTATTGCACAAACCCCTTGAATACCTTACATAGTTTAACTCAAGTCATTACCTGCCGTCAGCAGCAAAATGCGTTTGGTGGTTACGCGCATCCCCAAAGGCACCATGCTCGTACGGATCGCTCTTGCTTTTACCCCTACTTGACGGCCTGGCTCTGGAAGTACTCGGTCCAGCTGTGGCAGGACTCCAATTATTTTCGTGGCTACAAAAAACAAAATCTTTTCAAATTAGAAAAAGCCCAGTATTAAACTAATAAGTCATTTTGAAACAACATACCCAACACTAACTCTGCTTGATTCTGGTTGCCGAGGGATTTCCTGTCTGCGCCTCTGAAACTCCTGTCTCATCATCTGTTCCTGCTTCTTCTTCAATAATTGTTCTTGTTCTTGCTTTTTTTTTAATTGTTCTTGTTCCTGCTTTTTCCTCAATAACTGTTCTTGTTTCTGCTTATTATAGTCTATCGGTTGTTGTGGAACTTTTTTCACTGCCCCTTGCCTTTTCAGTTCCTCTTTTTCTCTAAGCAATCTTTCTTGTTCTTGCCTTTGTACAGCCTGTTGCACTTGTTGTTGTTGCTGTTTGAGTAACTGTTCATGTTTGAGTAACTGTTCCTGTTTTAGTAACTGTTCCTGTTTGAGCAAGTGTTCCTGTCTTAGTTGAGCTTGTTGCAAGCGCTCCTTTTCTTGTCGCTCCTGTTCCAGTTCTTCAGCTCTACTTTTTCTAGAATCTGCCCTTTTTCTGTTTTGGGTTTCGATAAAATACGGATTTTGAATCGGTTGGTTTTTGAACTGATCGAATGGGTCTATAGCTGGTTTATTTTTGCTGAGTTGCAAGGCTTCTTGCATTTTTTTGGTGGAACTTCTTGTTCCTTGACGCACCGGTGATTCGGGGCACAATGATGTCGTGGTATTTCCAATGGTGGGATCTGCAACAAACCGTAATAATAAATAAAAATTTATAATTAAATAATTATAATTACTTACGTAAACTTTGTTCTAATAAAACAAGCATGCTGGGTTTGTTTATTCTTGCACCAACAGAATTACCTGTTGGTGAATTAGATGTATGGGGACTCTTAGGAGCTGCTGGAGGAATCATACCTTCTGATACAAGCAATTGCTGCATAGGTTTAACACGAATACGTGTTGATGGATCAGAAGTTATTGTTGATGTTGGGGTAGCTCTTTGAGGTGTCGGTAGAGTCACTTTTCGAGGTGGTGCTTTAACTTTTCTCTTCTGATTAATCCGTTTGGGTATTTCTAACATTTCAGCTTCAGGAGTTGGTGGAGTACTGACTTTTGGAGGTGATGTTTGAACTTTAGTTTTGGGTAATTCATACTCAAGTGTAGTAACTGCTTGAGGCAAAAACTCCTCTTTCTGGAGAACGATATTTTCAGTTGATACAACAACATCGGAAGTAGGTGATGGTGACGGTGTGAGTTTTAGAGGCAAACCTTCCGCCATTTTCTGGTCAGTTTTGTGAGGTTCCAAAATGTCGCCAATATTGTTTAACGGTTGAATGTGCGCATCAAACGATTTCCTGCCACTTTGAAAAAATAACATCATATCCAAAGATTCAAGTGAAATAACAGGGTTATCACTGGTATTAAATTCCAAAGGTTCAAGTGTTCCATCTGAAATAACAGTGTTGTCACTAGTGTTGAAAGACACAGTAGTTTCTTTCATCTCAGAATTATCAGATTCTTTGGGGTTTTCAGATTTTTGACTGCCACTAATTAATAAGTCCATTGTAGAAGTAGATTGTTCAGTTTCAAGTGATTCGCTTTGATAATGATTTGTCTGTGACATTGTTGTTGGAACGGATGAAACCATAATACAATCGTTAGTGTTTTCCTGATACATGGGATCAAATTGTGTGTATTGCATTTCAACGTTATCCTGATCAATAACCATAGACTTTATAGTAGATGCCTCGCTTGACTGAGGTGATATTGCAGGGATCGGACTGCCCTGAATTGATTTTTGGAAATTTTCCACTGTTTCTACGACATCGGCATAGGAATGGTCATCTAATTGGTGCTGATTCTCCAATTCCGTATTGACTGAAATTGTTTGATAAGGTGCTGATTGTGAATCGGTATTTCGCACGAGACAATCTCGCGATGAACCAGGATAAATTGAATTAAATTCGCTGTTTGAAAATGGCATCTGATCATTGGTGTTCACAGAATTAAATGCCAGTCCTGTTTCAACAGTACCGTCAATCTCCAAAAAATCAGTTAATTGATTAATCATAATGTCATTGTAAAAACTTTCGAAATTTCGCTGATCAACTGTATGATTATTATCGTACAGCAAAGCCTCTGAACCTGCCAAGTTGTTATCGACTGCTTTATCATCCTCTGTTTGACCTATCTGAACATCTGGTGTGACTTCAGATACACTTTCATTCTGAGAAGTTTGAACTTCTTCGGTAACGAAAAAATCTAATGGAACCATATCCACTTTCGCTGGTTCCAAAGTGTTTTCCGAAATTTGCTCGACAAGGTTTAAATTGTCAAGGATATTGCTGTATTCAGGTTCTATACTTCGAGCGATAATTTCAGTTACCAAAGGTTCTAGTTCACGAAACTGTTTGTCTGCCTCGGGTATGGTGAGGAATTGAGTTTTGTTTCCGACCACACAAAGTTTTTTGGTTTCTTGAACAACTTCTTCGTTGCTTTTACGTTTGTTGGAGTTTTGTTCAAGGGTTGAAGTGCTAGGAACATTAATTTTAGTCTTTTTTGGTGTAGTGTCAATTATTAACGAATCGTCTTTTCTTTTTCTATTAGTTGAATCTACAAGACGATTTTCCAAAACTATATTTGGATTGTTTGGCAAGACTTTTGGGGATTCTGTAGTAGTTGTCGTAACCATGCTTTTGCATTTTTCTTCATCATCCCTCCTAGCTCTTGCACTAACTAGCTTTGGCTGGAGTGGGCTTCTAGTAGCTTTCTCTTGTGGAATTTTAATTTGAACTGTTTCCGGCTGCCTGTTACTATTATTGCCAGGTTTTTCCTGGACTACTTCTGCATAATTCTTCTCAGGTTTTTTGGCGCTGGTTTCTTCTTTTGATATTTTTTGTTCCAAATTGCTTAGGTTAGATGTAAGGATTGATGGTTTTTCGTCTTTACCAGACCTTTGTTCTAGTGAGCTCTTGGAATTTTTTTCTATTATTTTAATTTCTTGAACTACAATCTTTTTAATAGTGTCATCATGTTTATTGTTACCCCTTCTACTAGTTTTTTCCGCGTTTTCTTCTGCTTTAGTTTCAGGTTTGTGGACCTTGTTGTTGGATTCTTTGTGCGGCAGTTTATTTTCCTCAGCTGCCTTTTGGTCTTTTAATTCTATTTTTTTTCCTTCAGAATTATTAGCTGCTTTATCTTGCAGGGTCTTTTGGTCCTTCTCTTTTATCAGATCCAGTTTTGGTTTATTTTCTTCGGGTTTAGTAGTAGTTTCTTTATTTTGTGATGTTTTCTGTACCAATTTATTTTCGTCCTTTTTGGTTGCCGTCTCCTTTGAGGTCTTTTCGTCCTTGTCCTTTGGCATTTTTTGAGACTTGTTTTCTTCAATTTTATGAGTCTTTTTTTTCTGTTGATCTTTATTCTCTTCAACTTTACTAATCGCATCTTTAACTTTTGACACCTCTCCATCTTTTGGTTTTTGTTGAGATTTAATTTCTTCAGATTTAGTTGAACTTGGTTTATCATCCTTTTCTTTCTCTTTTAACGTTTTTTGCTTATCTTCTTCTAAACGTTTGCTATCCCTGGAACTACTCTCATCTTTTCTTGTCTTATATCTACTTGAGCGATAATCTTTCTTTTCGTCTTCATAAGACTTTATAGATTTTTCTAAACTGTGACTTCTGCTGGATCTGATCTCTTTTGCTGGACTTTGCTTATCGCTCTTACTACTCTTACTCTTTTTGAGTTCTTTTACAGGAGTTTCTCTGGATTTTGTCTCGATATTGCGAATTTTAACTTCTCTTGCAGGACTTTTTGTTGTCTCACTTCTACTTCTTTTGAGATGACTTGAGGTATTTTTACTGCTTCTATCATCCTTCGAAAAACTGGTATTTCTGCTGCTCCTAGCAGGACTCTCATAATGTTTACTGCCTTTAACTTCAGTTACAGGACTTCTAGGTTCTCTGGTAGAGCTCCGTGATGTTGATTCTCTTTTTTTATCTGGTCCCACTTCATCTTTTGTTGGCTTTTTATCTTTCTCCAGTGATTTATCAACTCTTCTGCTGCTGGATCTTTCATCCTTTTTATCACTACTTTTCTCAGAGGATTTGGATTTTTCTGATTTTAACTCTACCGGGCTTGATGTCTTTGAGGGTCTTTTATATTCGTCATTTTTACTTTTTCCTTTGTCCAAAGAATTTCTGCTCGAATATTCACTTCTACTGCTCCTTTCTTTGTTTTTATCGCTTCTGGAAGATTTTAATAATTCATCAAAGGGGTCTTTGTTTTTTTTGTCGCTGTCCTTTTCTTTAGGTTTTTCAACTATTTTTGATGTCCTTTCAGTAGAGTCTTTAGCAATTTTTGATGAATCTATTTTAGTCTTTTCAATCTCTTTAGGTTTTGATGTATCTTTACTACTCTTCTCTGTGCCTTTATTGCTTTTTTCAACTACTTTTGAAGTGTCTATTTTCTTTGGTGTATCCTCATATTTCCTACTACTACTACTCCTTTTCGATTTGTCCTTTTCTCTACTCAGCGATTTAGATTCTTCTGGTTTATCTCTGCGTCGTCTCTTGTAATAACTTTGCTTCGTTTCAATTTCTGAATCGGAATCATCCAATTTGGATAACCTCTTTCTCTTATCAGCAACAGCTGTCTTGTGTTTAATTGACGAATCTTGTTCTTCATCCTTGGCAATACTCTCACATAAAGCTCCATAGGCATTTTCATAGTACGAAGATTGACATTCGATTTCATTGTCGTAATCCCAATCCCACAGATCTGTGACCTGCGAGTTAACGTCAACTTTTTCTGGATCTTCAGTTGACAATGGTTTTTTAGCTTCTTTCAATTTTGTTGTGTCTTTTTCAAGTTCAGATAGTTTAATTGCAACAGCAAGACTCGATTTTTTGGATTCATTAGATACTGCTTCAGGAATAGTTTGGTCTTGTTTTGCCATCAAATTTGGAATATCCAGTAGTCCGGTTGCTTTTTTTGGCTCATTTTTAGCAGGAACCAACATATCTTTGGACTTATTTTTATTTTCTTCTTCTGTGGGTGGTTTCTTAGCCAATATGATTAAAGATTTATTTGGTTTCTTGGGTTCCAAAGTGGTCTCAGATCTATTATCAATCATTTTATCGGTTGGTTCTGTAGGAACACTTGATTTGTTCGATTTACTTTTAGATGCTGGAGTGTCTTTGGGTTTATTTTCAGTCACACTTGGTTGTTTATCAATTAATGCCTCTTTGGCTACAATGGATTTTTCAGCAACCAATAGTACACTTGACTTTTCTGGCTTATTTTTAGCAACTTCATCAATGGTTTCAGCAAGAGTTGACTTTTTAGCAATTGGGGTCTTTTCAGATTCACTAGATTTTTTGGATTGATTTTTAGGCACTTCAGGTACAGTCAACTTTTCATCAATTGGGGTCTTTTCTGAATCACTAGACTTTTTTGTTTTATTTTTAGATACTGAAGTGTCTTTAGGTTTATGTTCAGTCACACTTGGTTGTTTTTCAATTAAAGCCTCTTTTGGTATAACGGATTTTTTAGACTTGTTTTCATCGACTTTTGTTTCTGTAACACTTGATTTTTCAGCGACCGATAACTCTTCTGGTACACTCAACTTTTCTGGTTTATTTTTAGCAACTTCATCAATGGTTATTGTTGAATTTTTAGCAATTGGGGTCTTTTCAGATTCATTAGATTTTTTAGATTTACTTTCAGGCACAGCAATTGGGGTCTTTTCTGATTCACTTGATTTTTTAGTTTTACTTTTAGCTGCTGCAGTGTCTTTAGGTTTATTTTCAGTTGCACTTGGTTGTTTATCAATTAATACTTCTTTTGGTACAATGGATTTATTAGACTTGTCTTGGCCTATTTTGGTTTCTGCAACACTTGATTTTTCAGCAACCAATGACTTTTCTGACATATTTTTAGCGACTTCATCAATGGTTTCAGCAAGAGTTGACTTTTTAGCAATTGTGCTCTTGTCAGATTCACCAGGTTTTCTGGATCTATTTTCAGGAATTAGTTCTGCAACAGTTGACTTTTCAGCGAGTTCACTCTTTCGAGATTCACTAGATTTTTTGGATTTATCTTTAGTCACTTCAGGAGTTGTTTTAGTAAGACTTGATTTTTCAGATACACTTGATTTTTTCAAATCATCTGTAGCCTCTTGTGCAATTGTTGCTGTAACCACTTCAGGAATTAATTCTGCAATAGCTGACTTCTTAGTAATTGGACTCCTTTCAGATTCATCAGATTTTCTTGATTTATCAGTAGCCACTTGAGAAACTGATTTTTCAGCAATTTGAGTCTTTTCAGATATACTAGATTTTTTCGACTTATTCTTAGTCACTTCAGGAATTTTTTCTACATCAAGTGACTTTTCAGCCGGTACAGTAGACTTTGAATCAACCAAAGGCTTTTCAGGGGCAACAGATTTTTCGGACTTATTTTCAGTTACTTCAGGTGTTGGAGCCTTTCCAGATGACTTTTCAGTAATTGGAGTCTTTTTAGATGCACTAGATTGTTTGGATCTGGTTTTAGTCACTTGTGAAACAGTCAAATCTTCAGCAATTTGAGTTTTTTCAGATGCATTTGATTTTTTGGACTGATTTCCAGTGACTTCAGGTGATTTTTCAACAAGAGGCTTTTGAGACGAGCTTAGTTTTGCTGACTTACTTTCATTTTTAGCCATTTCAGCAATTGAGGTCTTTTCTGGTTCACTGGATTTGTTGGACTTATTTTTGTCAACTTCAGGGATTAATTCTGCAACAGATGATGTTTCAACAATTGGAATCTTTTTAGATACACTAGATTTTTTGGATCTAACTTCAGGAATTGATTCTGCTACAGTTCCCTTTTCAGCTATTGGAGTTTCTTGAGATGATTTTGGTTTTCCTGATTTGCTTTTATTTTCAGCCACTTCTGCAATAATTTCAGACCTATTTTGATCAACTTCAGGAATTGTTTCCGTAACAGATGACGTTTCAACGATTGGAGTCTCTTTAGATACACTAGATTTGACTTCAGGAATTGATTCTGCTACAGTTTTCTTTTCAACTATTGGAGTCTCTTGAGATGATCTTGTTTTTCCTGACTTTCTTTCATTTTTAACCACTTCAGCAATTGGGATATTTACTGATTCACTGGATTTTTCAGACTTATTTTTATCAACTTCAGGAATTGATGCTGCAATAGATGAGGTTTCGATAACTGAAGTCTTTTTAGATGTACTTGATTTTTTGGATTTAATTTCAGTGACTTCAGGAACTGATTCTGCTGCAGTTTTCTTTTCAGCTATTGGAGTCTCTTGAGATGATCCTGTTTTTCCTGATTTGCTTTCATTTTTAAACACTCCAGTAATTGGGATATTTACTGATTCACTGGATTTTTCAGACTTATTTTTATCAACTTCAGGAATTGATGCTGCAACAGATGAGGTTTCAACAACTGGAGTCTTTTTAGATGCACTTGATTTTTTTGGTTTAATTTCAGTTACTTCAGGAATTGATTCTGCTACTACTGCTTTCTTTTCAGCTATTGGAGTCTCTTGAGATGATCTTGTTTTTCCTGATTTGCTTTCATTTTTAACCACTTCAGCAATTGGGGTATTTACTGATTCACTGGATTTCTCAGACTTATTTTTATCAATTTCAGGAATTGATTCTGCAACAGATGAGGTTTCGACAACTGGAGTCTTTTTAGATGCACTTGATTTTTTTGGGTTAATTTCAGTGACTTCAGGAATTGATTCTGCAACTACTGTTTTCTTTTCAGCTATTGGGGCTTCTTGAGATGATCTTGTTTTTAGTAACCTGCTTTCATTTTTAACCACTTCAGCAATTGGGTTATTTACTGATTCACTGGATTTTTCAGACTTATTTTTATCAACTTCAGGAATTGATGCTGCAACAGATGAGGTTTCAATAATTGGAGTCTTTTTAGATGCAGTTGATTTTTTGGATCTAGTTTTAGTTACTTCAGGAATTGATTCTGGCTTTTCAACAACAACAGCCTCTTGAGATGAGTTTAGTTTTTCTGACTCACTCTCATTTTTAGCCACTTCAGCTATTGTTTCTGGAATAATCGACTTTTCAGCATTGGATTTTTTGGTCTTACGTTTATCAACTTCAGGAATTGATTCTGCAACAGATGAGGTTTCCACAATTGGAGTCTTTTTAGATACACTAGATTGTTTGGATCGAGTTTTAGTCACTCCTGGAACAGTTAACTCTTCAGCAATTTGAGTCTTTTCAGATTCACTTGATTGAAATTCAGCTTCAATGCCTGATTTTTCAGCAACATGAGCCTCTTGAGATGAGCTTAGTTTTCCTGACTCACTTTCATTTTTAGCCACTTCAGCTATTGTTTTGGGAATAATCGACTTTTCAGCAATCGGTTCATTGGATTTTTTGGTCTTACGTTTATCAACTTCAGGAATTGATTCTGCAACATATGACGTTTCCACAATTGGAGTCTTTTTAGATACACTAGATTGTTTGGATCTAGTTTTAGTCACTCCTGAAACAGTTAATTCTTCAGCAATTTGAGTCTTTTCAGATGCATTTGATTTTTTGGACTGATTCTCAGATATTCCAGCAACAAGAACCACTTGAGATGAGCTTAGTTTTTCTGATTTAGTTGTATTTTTAGCCACTTCAGCTATTGTTTCTGAAATAGTAATTGAAGTATTTTCTGGTTCACTGGATTTTTTGGATTTTTCAGGAATTGGTTCTGCAACAGATGCTGTTTCCACAATCGGAGTCTTTTTAGTTGCACTAGATTGTTTGGATCTAGTTTTAGTCACTCCTGAAACAGTTAACTCTTCAGCAATTTGAGTCTTTTCAGATGCACTTGATTTTTTTAACTGATTTTCAGATACTTCAGCAGCAATGCCTGATTTTTCAGCAACAAGAACCTCTTGAGATGAGCTTACTTTTTCTGACTTACTTTCTTTTTTAGCCACTCCAGCTATTGGTTCTGGAAAAATCGACTTTTCAGCAATTGAGCTCTTTTCTGGTTCATTAGACTTTTTGGACTTACGTTTGTCAACTTCAGGAATTCGTGCTGCAACAGATGACTTTTCCACAATTGGAGTCTTTTTAGATACACTAGATTGTTTGGATCCAGTTGTAGTTACTCCTGAAACAGTTAACTCTTCAGCAATTTGAGTCTTTTCAGATGCACTTGATTTTTTGGACTGTTTCTCAGTTACTTCAGCTGATTTTCCAACAACAAGAGCCTCTTGAGACAAACTTAGTTTGTCTGACTTGCTTTCAGTTTTAGTCACTTCAGCTTCTGCAACTGGCTTGTTTTTAGATACACTAGATTTTCTGGATTTGACTTTAGTCACTTCAGGAATTGATTCTGCAACTGGTAACTTTTCAGCGATTGGAGTTTTTTCAGACGTACTTGATTTTCTGTATTTATTCTTGTCTTGAGCAACCAATGGCTTTTCAGATGAGCTTAGTTTTTCATTTTTAGCAACTTCAGCAATAATCAACTTATCATCAATTGGGGTCTTTTCCGATTCACTTGATTTTTTTGTTTTACTTTTGGACGCTGGAGCATCTTTAAGTTTACTTTCAGTCGAACTTGATTGTTTATCTATTAATGCCCCTTTTGGTAGAATGGATGTTTTAGACTTGTCGTTCTCACCTATTTTTGTTTCTGTGATACTTGATTTTTCTGATATATTTTTAGCAACTTCGTCAATGGTTTCAGCAAGACTTGACTTTCTAGCAGTTGGGGTCTTTTCAGATTCACCAGATTTTTTGGATTTATTTTTAGGCACTTCAGGTACAGTCAACTTTTCAGCACTTGATTTCTTGAACTGTGTCTCAGCTTCTTCAGCAGCAATACTTGACTTTTCAGCTACCAGAGACTTGCTAGCCACTTCAGCAATTGTTTCTGTAATACTTGATTTCCTATTCTTGGGCTTATTGCTTTTAGAGGACAATTCAATGACAGCAGCTTCAGATTTAATTGATTCCTCAGATATATTCTTAGCAACTTCAGGAGTTGTTTCTGTAACGCTTGATTTCATGTCTTCAGGCGTATTTTTTGCTTGAATAGCAGCTTCTTCAACACTCTTGCCAGATTGGTCCTCTTCAGCTTCACATTTAGACGGACCAATTACTTTTCGTTTCGGTGGACGCCCTCTTTTTGGCTTATGCAGTAAAGCAGCTGCTTTTTTAGATAGCCGTAGTGGAGCTGTATCATCTAATGCTTTTCCTACTTTTCTTTCTGGAACCTCTGTCTCTTCATTTAGTAATGAAGATTCTACTTCATTGGATGTTTCCCTCAAATTAGGTTCTCTTGTTAATATAACTGATAAATCATCAATTATTGTCTTCTCTGGTAAGTCTGTAATTTCAGCACCACGCATTGAGGAGCGTCTTTTTTGAGAAAGTGCAGCTTTTTCTTCTTGAATTTCTTCTGATGTTGCCACTTCTATTTCAGAAGTTGATTCTACCTCTGCCAATGGTTTCACAAGTCGAGTTGAAGTGCGTCTTTTTTGAGATTTTTTCTTTTCGATTTCTGTAATTTCATCATTTATCAATGATTCCTTGAGTAAAATTTCAGAAGCACGTATTGAAGCGCGTCTTTTTTGTGAACTTTTCCTCTGAGTTTCTGTATTATCGCCATCCATTGCTGTTGAAGCTTCTGAAACGTCTCGTCTCTCTTCCATTAGCTTTTCAGCTGATGTTGAAGATTCAGAAATGTATTCTTTTTTCGGAGTTGACACTTCTTCCTCGGCCAATTGCTTTTTTATACTCTCAGAAGCACGTAGTGAAGTTCGTCTCTTCTGATGGGTTTGTGGTATTTTTGTATTATCCACTTCTGCAAGATTATCTTCTAAAGCTTCTGCAACTGCTGACGGTTCCTTTACCAAACTCTCAGAGGCACGCTTTTTTTGCCTTTTGCGACGACCTTTAGGTGGTTCTGGTTGAGTATCTTCAACATCTGTTAATGATGAAGTATCTTCTTTAGATCTTTTCTTAGGAAGTTGTTTTTCTGTGGATACACAGTCAGTAACTTTCTTTTCTAGCTCTATTTTAGCCATGAAAGATTTTTGAGTTTCTTCAGATATAGGATCATTTTTAGGAATTCCTTTAAGCACTACAACTGATGATGATGCAAGCTTTTCTTCTTCTGGTACAATTATTTTAGGGTAAGTAGGTTCCACGTTGAAATCATGTATTTTATCAAAATTATCTTGGTGTCTTTGAACTGCTACAGATACTTTGGCAATCATCCCTTCAAGCATAGGGTTTTTTTTCTCCAGAAATTTGAAGCGTTTTTTAAATGGTGGTGAAGTAGCTAATATTAATTCTGAGGTACTTGCTGAGATTTCTAAAGGTTTTGTTACAGTTTCTGGTACGGCTTCTACGATAACTGGTTCAGCAATAACCTCTTTTTTCTCCATTTGTATCACAACTGCTTCTGCTGTTTTAGTTACCTCTTCAGTTTTGCCAGCATCTTGTGAAGCCGAAGATTTTCTTGATTGCGGTTTTGCAGGAGTAATAATTAATGGTTCAGCAATAACTTCCTTTTTCTCCAATTGTATCACAGCTGGCTCTGCTATTTTAGTTACTTTTGCAGTTTTGCCAGCATCTTGTGAGGCTGAAGATTTTCTTGATCTTGGTTTTGGAGAAGCAATAATTAATGGTTCTTCTTTGATTTTTTTGGGTTCACTACTTGACACAGACCTGGATCTTAATTTTGCGGTGTAGGGTTCTTTTTTAGCTTTCTTCTTTTTTGAGACTTTTTTACTTGATTTGGTTGTGGTTCTTGGTCTGCCACGTTTTCGCCTAAAAAAACATGAATTATTATACTCACTATTATTATTTCCAATAACAAATTACCTTTTCATTCTGACATCCAAAGGAACATCATCATCGGAATCTTCTGGGAGCCCTTTCAATTCAGCTTTTGTCTTAGGTCTCTTCACAACCTCAGAAACTGACATGATTTGTTTACTTGATTTAGCAACCTTTTTAACAACCAACGCCTCTGGAGGTAATTCTATTTCTAATTTACCCTCAGAGTCGGTGGAAATTGGAGACTCTGGTTGACTGGTATTGAGTTGAGGGACTGGTAAATACCTATCTTGTGAAGCAACATCGGCTAATTGTAAGAGATTGATTGGGCTTTGCACGTAGGCAGCGGGAACCCTAGGCTCCAATGAATTTGATGCAACATGATAAGAATCTGGTATTTGAAGATTTAAAGGCAAAGGTGTTATTGGTATTGTTGCAATTTGCCAATTTACGTTTTCAATCGGTGCATGTCTAATCTGTTCTTCAGGTATCAATACTGGAATAGTTTCAGTTTGTGTCCGATCTAGAAATTGTTCAAAATTATTTTTATCAGTTGAGAGATTTAAAGCATCTTTGCTATAATCTTCTTTAGAGTGGCTAAGGTTTAAAGCCTCATTGTTGATTTCGTCACTTAGCTGACGTGAATACAAAGAATAATCTACAGGAAAAATTTATTTTCAATTACTTGAAAATTTAACATTAAAAAAATAATACTAACCTGGGTAATAGGTTTGAATTTTGTCTTGTGGCAAATTTCTAAGTACGTCTTCGCTTAAGAAACTTGAAGTTTTTCTTGACAATCTTCTAGGAGGCAATTGTGATTCATAGTGGGTGGGTTTTTTAAGATCTAAGGCTTCTTCTTTTGGAGGTATTTGTTCAGCAATTGATTCAGTCACAGATACCAAAGTATGAGGAATATTACTGTCTGGTTGTACTATTTTTTCATCTAAAGCTAGCAGATTCTCAATTGAGTGTCTATGACTCTTGGTTTTTTCTTTCTTCTCTAAAATACCACTATGTTTGTCTAATTTTGTTAAATCTTCCCCTGTATTTTGTTGATGAACTGTGGATGATGAAACATTTTGATGTTGATTGTTAGATGACTTGTCTTGTTTAGGCTCAACAGTAGAACTTTCTTTAATATTAATAAATTTCTCAGATTCAGAGCTAGATGTTTGTTTTGTTGAGGTGTCAACATCCTGCGACTGCTTGTTGAGTGCGTCAATTAAAGGAACTTGTGTAAAATCAATGTTTTTCATTGGCAACTCTATGATTTGAGGCGATTCTCCAGTAAAATGCACAGTGGGAGCCACTTCACTTTCTTTGGAATTCCTTAAAGTGCTCTCAATTGATTTTCTTTGGAACGTTTTCCGCTGTTTTGGTTTTTGTTTTTGTATTGGAAAAGTACAAGTTTTCATCACTAAATTTGACACAATATTTACACAATGATCAATTCTCTGAGTTGAAAATGGTTCTTCCGGAGTATTTTCTTTAGTTTTTGATCCCAAAGGTTCTGGCACTTCTGTTTTTGAAGGTTTTTCCATTGGCACTTGTAATAAACCCAGGGATTTTTCTGGTATACTTTTCAAGTCTACTTTAGTTTCTGAGCGCTGTTCAACAAGTTTCTCTTCCTGGGTGTTTGAGAGTGGTGCTACATGTTCCAACATTGAAGAATCAGCTTGCATTGGAACTTCTGGAGGTGATGTCTTTGGTAGGTTTTGTGTACTACATTTCAACTCTGCTTCAGTCACAGAATCAGCAATCAATGTCTTATGTGAGGGCTGTTCTGGCAGGACTTCTGAAGGTTTTTCTACTTCACATTCCAACTCTGATCTGCTCACAGAATCAGCAATCAATGTTTCTTTTGAGGGCTGTTCTGGCAGAACTTTTGAGGGTTTTTCTGCTTCACATCTCAACTCTGATTTGGTCACAGAACAGGAAACCATTGCACTTGCTGAAATCTGTTCTGGTAGGACTTCCAGGGGTTTTTCTGCTTCACATTCCAACTCAACTTCAGCTGGTGGCTTGTTTGGTAGAACTTCTAAGGTGTTTTCTGTCCTACAGTCCAACTTTGTTTCAGCCACAGAATCAAGATGCAGCGCATTTTGTAGAGGTTCTGGCAAGACTTCTAAGGGTTTTTCTGCTGTATATTCCAACTTTGTTGCAGGCACAGAGTCAACAAGCAGCACATCTTTTGAAGAATGTTCTGGTGCTGGCAAGACTTCTAAGGGTTTTTCTGCAGTATCTTCCAACTTTGTTTCAGGCACAGAATCAACAAGCAAAACATCCTTTGAGGAGTGTTCTTGTTCCGGAAGGACTTCTAAGGGTTTTTCTGCTGAAAATTCCAAATTTGTTTCAGGCACAGAATCAGCAAGCAAAACATCTTTTGAAGGTGGTTCTTGTTCTTGCAAGACTTGCAAGGGTTTTTCTGCTGAATTTTCAATCTTTGTTCCAGTCTCAGACTCAACAAGCAATGCATCTTTTGAAGATCCTTCTTGATCTGGCAAGACTTCCAAGAGTTTTTCTGCTGAATTTTCCATCTTTGTTTTAGCCTCAGAATCAACAAGCAATGCATCTTTTGAAGAGCCTTCTTGTTCTGGCAAGACTTCTAAAGGTTTTTCTTCTACACATTTTTTCTGTGCTTCATCCACAGAATCGCCATGCTCTGATGAAGGTATTGTTTCAACAACAGCATCAACTGAAGGCTGTTGTGGCAAGACTTCTTCTACGGGGTTTTCAACTAATTCCACATGAATATTTGAATCAGGAGTTTCTGAAGGCAATTCAGCAGAGACTTCTAAAGAACTTTCTGCTCTAGATTCTAAGTCAACAAACATTAAGGCGTCTTCTGAAGGCTGCTCTGGAAGGTCTAGTTCCACTTTGATCTCAGATTCAGCCAGTAATGAATCTTCTAAATGCTGGTCCGTTGTATACTCTGGATCTTCTGAGGGCTGTTTCGAGTTATCGTTTGCTGGTAATTCTAAGTTAGAGTCAGCAACTTGTTCTTCAGCAAGTGGTTTTGGTTCTGAAGAGCCAATATCAGTAGTTTGTGGAGCTTTGTCCAAAATTGGTGAATAATCTGCAGGTTTTATATTGGTGAAATTAGAAGCTTGCTGAACAGGTTGTTGTTCCAAATTGGCTTCAGTGTTAATAGTGTGATCTGCACAAACCTTTTCTGAATTATCTTGTTGAGGTGGATAAATTGCTTTGTCAGTGTCTGATACTTGAAGGTCTGTTTTGGTAAGTGATTCAGTTTGTTTTATAGTATTATCTTCAAAGGTTGATTGAGCCTCTGAAACATCAGCTGACAGTGAGACTTCTGTAGGATTACTTTGAACAATTTCGGGTACTAGGTTCGTTTCTTGAGTAACTGAATTATCTTCAGATGTCGGAACATGTTTCTCAGATTCAGTTGCACCTCCTTCCTCCTTCCTACATTGGTCTTTTTCCCTAAATTCCACAAGTGGTTCCAAAGGTGTTTCCTTGAATATCAATTTATTTTCACTCTCTGAAAATTTAGCTACTGAAGATGTAGATGTAGCTGGTTTATCTGTATTTTTTTGCAATTTCCCATCTGTGCCATAGTTTCCTAAAAATGTAGCCATCTCTTCTATAACGTCACCGGGTTTATTCGAAATTGTATCATGTACTGGAAATTTACTGCCATTTTCATCTTCTCCTATCAATAATTCCTCATCTACTTCTTTATAGGAACCAATATAGTCCATTTCACCAAGTAAATCATCTTCTGACTCAATTACTGGCTCAATTTCAGCTTTGTCCTGATTTTCAATTTCTTTAACACCTGGTTCGTTATCTTTACTTCCTGAAAATTCATTATTTTCTTCTTCTTCACCAAGTAACTTATCCTCATCTATTGCCTCATCATTATTTGTTGGTGAAGTGAGTTTGCTTTGTGAAATATCTATATTGTCTTCACTAAGTAAAACATCTTCTAAGTCTAGTTTTGAAGAATCTTCTGTTGCCTGGGAATCTGTTATTTCTTCAGCTAGGTTTTCTTTTGTACATGGTTGCACGTCATCAAATGAATAATCTTCTGAATTGCTCTCTTTTGGAACTGGCTCAGTTTGAGAAGGATCTTTTTCTGCTGACTCTACTTCTTCTGAATTTTTCTGTGCAACATCTTCTGACAAATCATCAAAGACATCATTTGGAAAAGAAAGTTCTTCCGATAAGCAGCGTTGTGAAAGGAGGAGAGGCTCATCTTCTGACAAGTCTATAAAATCAGCAACATGTGTCAAAGGATCAAGTGAATTTGATTCAGTTTTCAAATTATTTTGATCAATTTCCAAGTTGTTGTCGTTGCTTGGTGTATTATCCTCTTGTCTTTTATCATCATAGGAACTTTCGATTGCCCTTCTTACAGGTTCATTATTTTCAGATTGTCTTCTAGTATTAATTTCCACACGGCCATCCCTTACACTTATAACCATCTATAAAAAAAATATTAGAAAAAACCATAAGGCACAGAAACAAATTGAACTTACATTTGAAGTACCAGCAATCTGTTGTAGCTCAGAGAGCAAACTTTGCACCCTGTTAGACATCAATTGATTATTATTATTATTATTTTGTCCCACTTCATTAATCGTCCAGGGCTGACTCGAACAAGTTTCAGCCTGCTCCTCTTCAGTCAAATCTATGGTCACATTCGGAGGTTTATAAACCATCAGATTGGAGCTGGTATTATCTTCTCCTTCTGAGTCATACAAAGAAATTTCAGTATTAGCTGTCAAAATGGAACTGGGTCTGCTTGTTTTAAATTTATCACTGACATAGGTCTGCAAATATTTTAACTGTTCCCAAATTATAGGTTCAATATCTGGATCAGTTTCTTCAGGGTCAACATCGACAACCACGTTTTTAGCTTGTTCTGGAGCAGTCAGATCGACTACTGTAAGTTCACTTTCAGTAGTAGTTTTTTGTGGCTCAGCGTCAACATCGACAACCACATTTTCAGCTAGTTCTGGAGCTGTCAGATCGACTACTGTAAGTCCGCTTTCAGTAGTAGTGTTTTGTGCCTCAGCATACAAAGGATCTATAAAGTTTTCTTTTGCTTCATTTAAGTTTTCTTTTGCTTCAAATAAGTTTACGGAAAAGTATGGCAGATCTGGCTCGTCCGGGTCATAAGGAGGAAGATTGCACTTGATGGTACTGAAAATTAAATGAATTTTTGTTTTCAAATTATCAAATAAATGGGTATTACTTACTTCAAAAAATCGTTAAAAAAATCAGGTAGAATCAATGGCTCATTGACCAACAACTTCCAGATCATTTCATAAACCCAAATTTTATTAAAACCTCTAATCGAATATGAAGTGTAACTTGAATAAATCTTTGTCAATAAAAATTTTACTCTTTCTAACAAAGCCAATTGAGATTTTTTATTTTCAGTTAAGCGTTGGTCTTGTAGAAGCTCCAGTTCAAGCGATATATAAGCAACCAATGAGTCTTTCAGGAACAAATCTAGTACGTATACATTTGTTTCCTGAAATATGAATAATAAGAAAAATTTTTTTTTAGAATATTTATTTATCACAAACCTCTGCCACTTGACAACAAAAGTCATGCACAAAAAGAATTTTTCTGTGCGCTCTTCTCAGAAAGGATTCCGTTTTCTTTTCACCGCTTGACCGCTGAACAATGTAACTGTAAATATTTCATTACATTAGATGTTGGTTGAAGGAAATAGGGGTAAGAAAAAGTAAAATTAATATCACAATTATTACAATGCTGGACCGATGGCTTCTTTTTTTTCTTAATTCTAGTGTTGTTTAATGGTCTTCTTGGTGCTTTTATATGTACATACTTAATAATTTTATTTTTAAAAATTAATGAGTAATTTATTTGCAAATGAGTATAATATAGATAGATTTTAAAATTTCTTCTTTTTCTTCTTCTGCTTCTTCAAAATCCACTGATGTCTTCTGAATTCTTCTTTCTTGATGTACCTACTTCCTGTTAGATGCTATAATTTATGTAGTGAGTAAATAATAATTTTCTAATACTGACTAATGCAACAATTCGTAAAATCTTTTCTAGGTATAAAAATTGATTTTAAAAAAATACTGCTTATTAAGCTTTTATTTCTATCCTGTTATAGGGGGAAAATAGTGTTAAATCATGATTATTTCGTGGTTCATTAAAATGTATTACCTATGCAAATGGTAGGAGAGCAATCTGGCGTTTTTGATACTCTTTTGCCCATGAGCTATTTTGAACATAGTATATCCGAGGCCTCCTAAAAAAAAGAATTACATATGTATTTAGAAACATTTTGTGGCGTGGAGGAAAAAAGATCTATGTAGAGCAAAAAACCTTGCTCAAACAAATCAGTAAATTATGTAGGTATAATATATAAACTATAAGCAGATACAAAAAACAATGTTTTTCCAAGCTCGATGGTTTTTCCTTTTATTTTAAATAAATAATGCAGGAATACATCTTACGTTATGAATAATATGAACTTTACCAAACTGACTAATCTATAGGTTTTGTGAGAAATAAATTTTGTCATCAGTAGGAATAACTTTCCGGGGGACGGTGGTCTTTTCCAAAATGGATTTTGGCAACAAAAATTTGATCCTGAACTGCAAAATGTTCAATATGGTATTCAGAATTGAATGATCAAAACAGATAACTTCTTTGTCACATGTAAAGATGTATCTGAACACAACAAAATTCCACCCATTCCAGTCTAAAAGTTTCTCCAATTTCATTCTGTCAATGTTAGCAGTCTTTTCATATTCCTGTTGAATCCATGGGAATGTTGCATTATGAGTGATATCTTGTTCCCATATTTGCCTCCAGAATGCTTCGACTTGGGTAGTGTGGTCTTGGCAGTGTAATTTTTTTTCATGATGCTACTGTACAATCGGCTGGTGTTTTCCGCGTTTGTTGGTATTGCGCCCTTCTTTCTGTGTATCGTTTTGCTCTGCATGTTTTGGCTGCCACTTTTTCTTTTAGTTGTGTATATTCTTTTTGGTTCTTTATTTCATACTTTTTGTAAAGATTTTCCTTCCGTTGCATCATCTTGTCTTTAAGGTTTGGTTGTTGAGACTTTTTGAGGTGTGAGAGGTCCTGTCTTGTCTTCGTTATTTGTGATTGTATTCTTTTTTTCCAAGGTGGATCTTCAGACCAGGGCTTCTTTTTCGAAGTTGGAAGTGATTTCCTGGTATGCTTCAGGTTTCTTGTATAACTTTGTTGCCTTGTCTTATTTGATCTCTTAGTTTGGGGTTGTTCTTGAGTTTCCTGAGTAGTTTTTTTACCTCATCTAGCATAGTTTTTAGTTCCAGGTCGTCCTGATGATAGAGTATTAGTGGGCTTTGTACTTATGATGTTGGTCTCGTGAGCATTCTCATTGTTGTTTATTTTGTTCGTGTTAAGGTCTTCTTCAGCCGTTCTTTGCTTGAATTATCCTGTTCTCCTCTTTCATTTCCCAAGAGCCTTTATTAAGGTTGGATGCACCTCATCCAGCTTTTGGTGATTTTGACCTGGGCATTACCTCACCAAAGAACATTGTATGTGATTATTTTTATTATAATTTTAAATGCACTAATTTTAGAGAAATGAATTTGTTTTTGTCAGATGTTGATTGGGATTTTATTTGTGAATGTGCTGATGTAGATGTGGTGGTTTCACGTTTTTATGATTTTTTTTAATATGTTATTGAGATGTTTACACCAACTTCTCGTTATAAAACACCAAAGTTTCCTAAGTGGATGAACAATAACCTCAAAACCTTAATTATAGAAAAGAAAAAAGCACATAAAATCTTCAAAAATACAAACTCCTTAAAGGATTACTGTGTTTTTGAGGGAGCAGTGCAAAAATCTGTCTATTTCTTCACATAAGGATTACATCACGAACCTTGAAAATCAGTTAACAGATAAATCTTTTTGGAGTCACGTAAACTCAAAAAAAGGTAACTTTGAGTATCCACATGTGTCACTTAATGAAGAAATAAGCACTGAACCCCAGAGAATATCGGACATGTTTAACCAGCACTTTTCTATTGTCTACTCGCAATATGTTGAATGTAATGAGTCATTTTCTTGTGATAAATCTATATGTCTAGGATTTGTAAAATTAAATGTTCTAGATGTTTTAAATAAAATATGTGTCTTGACGCAAAGCCTTGGGCCTGGGCCAGATGGCATTCCTGTAATGTTAGTACAAAATTGTAAATTTGTTCTGTCCGAAATACTATATAAAATTTACAATGTCTCTTTAAGCAGTGGAGTCTTACCCGCTTGTTGGAAAAAGTCTTATGTTACACCTATTTTTAAATATGGTGATAGGGCCAATATAAAGAACTATCGCCCAATTTCTAAAATATGGTTGTTTTCAAAAAAAATTTGAAGCTATAGTCTCTGATTATGTTACCCCTCATTTTAAAAATATTATAATAAACGAGCAACATGGCTTTGTAAAGAAAAGGTCAACAGTTTCAAACCTACTGAGCTATGAGCAATCCCTGTTGGGTGCTTTTGAGAATAGGTGTCAGGTTGATGCAATTTATATTGATTTCTCAAAGGCTTTCGACAGGGATCATGGTATTATGGTTAAGAAGCTTGGAGCTATTGGGATCTTTGGAGACCTTCTCAATTGGTTTGGAAGTAACTCAACAGGTTGAAAGCAAGCTGTAAAAGTTAAACATTATATTTCATCAGAAGTGGGTGTGACATCGGGTGTTCCACAGGGAAGTCACCTTTCTACATTCCTTTTTAATGTTTTTATGGATGATCTGAAGGACGTTTTTTATTTTTGTCAGTTTCTCGCATTTGCAGGTGATTTGAAGCTTTTTAAAGTTATAGTCACCTCTAGATGGTCAATTGCTGCAGGAGGACCTTAACAGGTTTTCTTCATGGTGTAAAAATAATAATTTAACACTTAATCTTGATAAATTTAATAAAATAACCTTTAGTAAATTGAAAAATCCAGTTCTTTTTGGCTATTGCTTGAACTCTGAGAGGTTAGAGAAGCGGAATCTAGTAAAAGATCTTGGAGTCTGGCTAGATTCTGAGCTTACTTTTACACACCATATTGATGTCACTACTAACAAGGCTATACGCCTTCTTGGTTTCGTTTTTAGAACTTTAAGAGGTTTTGAAAATATTTTCACCTTCAAAGAGTTGTACTGTGCGCTTGTCCGTTCAATTCTTGAGTGCGCAAGTTGTGTATGGCAGCCACATTACTTGATGCATAAAGGAAAAATAGAAAGAGTTCAGAGAAAGTTTCTCAGAGGAATAGGTTTTAGATTGAGTATGTCATATGAGGAGATAAATTGTGATGAGATTATGAAACTTTTAAATTTGCCATCTCTAGAACAAATATCCTTTGACATATCAATGTTATATAAAATTATTAACAACTTTATAGACGCACCAGATCTTCTTGCAGCTGTTGAACTTCGTATTTCTCCTGTTAATGCAAGAACCAGCTATCTTTTTAATATTGATTTTCATAGGACAAACTATGGAGCGAACTCTCCATTGAGTAGGATGTGTAGGTTGACAAATGATGTGTTAGCTAGAAATCACAATATTGACATATTTGCAGACTCTCTAAGTAGATTTAATGAGAAACTGAGACAAATTGTATACAATTAATCCGCCATTTTGTAATTTTGTAATCTTGTTAAACTGTAAACTTGTATTTTAATGTCTAGTATCACCGTTTATTGTTATTTTAAATTATTTATCTTTGACTACTGCTAATCATGTCCTAGCTTTTGCTGTCCCTATTTATTTTATTGTAATTGCTAAATGTGTTAATAAAATTTTGAATTTTGAAACAGATTCTTCGCTCTGCACATGACTTCATCTAATTTAGTTTGTGACAGCTTCTTGTTGTCAAGGATAAATCGCCTCTGTGTTAGCTGTTAGGGCATGTGTGGGGTTTGGATTTCTCTGTTTTCACAGGGTATAGGTGTCTTTCGAGGTTCGCCATTCCTGTTTTCTGTATTGTGTAATAATGACATAGTGCTTTCTTTTTGTATTCTTCTATTCTACTCTATGACTTTTGGAATTTTATCCCTCTTCGGGTTGTTTTGGGTCCTGCTTGGTTTCTTGTTGTTGATGTTGGTACTGCTGTTGTTGGTATTGTGCAGTTGTTATTTCCTAGTTGCGTCTTCTAGGAGTTTATATTGTCCACTTTCCAGGTTTCCTGTATGTATGTGTAGTTTAATGTTGACTTGGTGGGATGTTTTACTGATAACCGTGAGCGCTTTGCTTGTGATGTAACTGTCGCCGTTGATTATCTCATCTTCGACGTTGAGTTTGAGTATTTCTGACATTGCTAGTATTTTAACGCTGCTACTGTTTACGTTCCACTCTGTCTCATTCTATAACAGTAGCTTCTCTGGTCGTTTGACTCAGTAGGAGGTACTCTTTCAATTCGTTCCAGTGTTGTCTCACTTAGTGGACTGTGTCAGATCTTATTTCTCCTGTGTGCTGTGTAGGTACAGGCTCACAGCTCTGAACAGGCAATTTCCATCTGTTCCAATTCTTCGTATGTTGAATCATGTGATTGGGTTGCGGTCTTGAGTACTAGTTGTATGTTGAGGATTTCGCATGATGATAGTCGAAGACACTTCCAATCTTCTTCCGAACGCGGAGACAGGTGCTACTCTGGACCCGTTTAAGTCGTTTTTGTCCGAGGCTTTATAACGCTTCATTTGGCAGCACTTTCATTAGGGGTAGGTTTTGTTCCACGACAGGTATTTTATTTCCCCACTACACCCTCTGGGCTATCAGAAGGTGAATAAATCAGCACTTAGAGTGATATTCCTGTCCTAACCTGAAAGGTACGTCCACTAAGGCATTCCTTGCAGTAAATCGCCTCCGACTTGAAAATGATAAAGCTTGAATAAGGAAATGAAAAGAATTGTGAGTCATAAATACCAGACAAGAAATAAGACTAATGACTTTATCCAAATACCGAAGATTAATACCAACCTGAATATGAAATCATGAAATCTTTAAACTATTTTGCACCGAAAATGTATAACCTCATACCAGTTGAATTTAGAAACTCTACTAAAATTAGTATATTCAAAAAAAAATGTAGATCATATATTGTTGAAAAAAATGAATTATTCAAGAAGCTTTTTTAAACTTTAATTTCTAGCAATGGATGTTGGGAGCGTAGGGGGGTCATTGCTTCTGGTATTAATGATGGATTGAATGTAACATAGACATAGGATGTAGAATTTAGGTATCTTTTGTAGTATTTAAAGAT